AAAAAAAAACATAAAAATGTAAAAAAAAAAAAAAAACAATAAAGTTAAAAAAACCTAATAAAATTAATAAAACGGTAACAAAACCCTCCCATCGTAATCATTTTTGTATCCCAATACAACCTCTCTACTCGGTGAAAGCTAGCCGAGGAGTCGGCACGGTGTTTGCTGAGTACGCCGAGGTGATTACCGAGCTAGCTGAGATCCATACCGTCCAACCTTATAAAAATAGTTGATAATTGAAAAATAATAATTAAAAGGTGTAGTTTTTATTTGTGAATAATACTTTTGAAATTTATAAAATTACATAGAGCATAAAAGATAGAAGCTAATATCTTCTAATATCTCTCAAAATTTATTCGAAATATTTTTAAATTATGAGTTTTTCTTTTATTTTAAAATAAAAACTTTGAATTCATATTTTTAAACAACGTTTTTTTTTTAAATGCAAGTTTTGTTGTTTTGTAAATATGATTCAAAGGTTAATTATTATGTTTGTATATATATGATGGAGAGAAAAAGTGACGACATATATCTCTTTTTAGTGTTTTGTTTTGTTCTCCAATTTCTTTTATAATAATGGATTGATTGTGTTGATTTTCGAGATGTAAGGTTGTTGACACAATATACGCCCAAAAGGAAACAAATATGGAGAAAAAAAGGTTTGTCCATATATCTTGCGAATATGTAAACACAACACGATGGATGATGGTCAATAGATGGACGCATGTGGTATGTTGTGTATACATATTCATATTCTAGAAAAGATATAATGTGACTTATGCACAAAAAAATAATAATTATCAGTCTTAATGTCAACATTTGAATGATTACCTAGATCTACACAATTATTCATATACCCTTTATTTAAGCCAATTCCAAAGGTACTCCCAAATTGCTTATTGTAAATTTGTAACCCCCTCTCCATGTGTGTATAAACCCCATGTTTGATTTTTTACTTTTTATTTATTTATTTTTTTTTTTTTTTTTTTAGTAAGAAGTAAATATAATAACACCATTTATTTATTATAAAATATATTCTTGCTTGATTTGACAAAAACGTATATAATTTAGTAATGAGAATGTATGAATAGAATCACCATGTACATATATAATTAAAGAACTTCGACTTATGAGAGTAATATTAAGTCAAAACTGTAAACACAAATGGAAATTGCGGTATTAATATCATTTATTTATAAATTTGATAATAGTATAACGACTTATCGAATTAAAATTATTTTATTAATTAATCAAACCCATTTCAACTTTATCATAAACTAAAATAACTCATTTTTAACAAATTTACATAACATGTACTACAACAAGAGAATGCATTCAAGACAAACAAAAGTTATTTAATAACGTGTCATATCAAGTGTTTTGTGGTCTCATGTGCAACTAACTATGTGAACACGTTATAATAGATTGGACATTATGCATGTGGCATGTTATGTCTACATGTACATCAAATCAATCCACATTGGAATTTAATTAAAACAAGTATAATTAATACATCTTTCTCAAAAGAAAAAAAGAAAAGAAAAAGAAGATAAAGGAGTTAAAAAGTAGGGAAAATGGGCAGCAAGTTGTCTAGTCATACGAAATAGATAGATTCCATTACTCCATTATTATGTTTTTTCTATTTTTGATATAATGTAAAGAAATAACAGATTGTTATTTATATATTCGTGTTAAATTTGGAATTTACTTGAGGTGTTTGGATTTAAAGGGTTTTGAACTAAGATAAACTGTAAACAAATAAACCCAAAAAAAAAAAAAAAAAAAAAAAGGTAGCAACATTATACGATGAAAGCTTGATAAAAACTAATAACAATCGAGTATATTTAGAAACATGAATTCAATCCTATCTGAATATCTGACTCTCAATTCATTTTTTAACTCATAAATTATATTTCACATTCCATTTCCCATTTGTATTGACAGAAAATGTCCAATTATTTTCCATCACCTTTACATACGGAATCTGCAAAAAAAAAATATGAGAAATAAGTTAACTTCACGTATCAAAGGAATTGAATTCCACCCATTTGGCAACTACGGAATGGAATCTCCAATTCCAATTCCAATTACCTTGTCAGATATTTCATAGCCTACTTTAACCGTTACATCTTGATCTTTCTGAAAATCAAGAATGTTCCAAACCAATTCAGCTGCTCCACTTGGTGTGGGCTGTAAAAAAGTAAAAAGTAAGTAAAATAACTAAATTATAATTTAGTTTTTTTGATAATAATAATAATAATAATAATAATAATAATAATAAGTAATACTTGTTTAAATTCTTTGTCAAGATCACAACGCGCTTTCACAACAAAATTGACAACTCCATCAGGTGTTAGAGGGAATGACTTTTTTCCATGCATGGTGTAATGGAGTTTTTCACGTCTATCATATTGTAATCCTGCTCCTAATTTTGCTGAAAGCTATATATAATATATGGGGGATAAAAAAGAGAGAATATTATTTATTAATTAATTATTACAATTTACAATTAGTTGTGAAACTTTAACATAAAGAAAAGGTAGCTTACTTCTGGAGGAAAGTATCTAAGGATTGCACTGAAAAAAGTTGGAGCTCCAATTCTTGTATCAAGTTCTCCATGAAGCTGCAAATGTCAACAAGTATTATACAATATACAAAGTCATCAAGTGATTCAACTATATATATATATATATATATATATATATATATATATATATATATATATATATATATAAGAACGTTCAATACACCATTGGATACTTAAATGATCTGGTTTTATCTCTTGTGGCATGTTTTAATCATCTGATTGTGGTTATTAAGTATCAAAACAATCACTTTCTAGAAGCTATCTAAAGCTAAATACTTTCATAAACAACAGGGTAGCAATTTCTACATGGACATCTTAAAAAATGATACACAAAGGGGAAATACAAACGCTAATGGATTTTGGGCAAAAAGGGACCTTTGAATGAGATGCTAAATTCGAAACCTAAACATAAAGCAACTAGTCTAAAAGCCTTTCTCCCAAATGAACAGGAATGCAGCACAATTCAAGAGCTAATTCGATTAACATCAGCGTAAATTCTCAAAAAAACGACATTGTATAACTAAAAATTATTGCACTATTTTAAAAAAAATAGCGAAGGACATATGAATCCCTAACGAAAAACATAAAATCATCTAGGGTTCAGACCGATAAATCATTTTTGAAGCAAAAGAGAATGAAATTGGAAGAAGATTGGAGTTGTGGTGCGTTTGATGTGGAGTACCTGAAGTCGAGTGTTGGAATCGATACGGAACTTCTGCTTAGCATGGATTTTGAGGGCGCTGGTGTCACCGACGTACCTGACTGTAGGAGGTTTCTTATTCGTATTGACTCTGAGAGCAGTGGAATCTCCGCCGTATCTGAGCGAAGTCTCCATTTTTCTCTCTGAAGGTGGGTTGATTAAATTTTGCCGATAGAAGAAAAGATGAGTAGGTGGTAAAACCCTAAAATGGATATGCCCAAGAGCTTTATTATGTTCTTTCACAAATAAATGACGCCTTAAGTGGTAATATAGAGATTATATTATCACAAATTTACAATGATTATATATAAAGAAAAGTACTAAAATAGTTATTTTTCTAATTATTTATTAAAAAGTGCCTAAAATTTTACTTATTACTACAATATTCACATATTTATAATGCTCTATTTATTTCTGATTGTTCTATATATATTTTTCCCATTTTTTCTAAATTTTATACATTTTTTTTATAAAATCTATGTCAATTTAAAACTTCGTTTTAGCAATATGAAGCTCCATTTTTGTATGTTTAAATGACTTTTGAGAAATTCATAACAAAAGGAAACTTAAAAAAAATATTTTCTAAATGAAGATTCATGATTTTTCTAAATATATGAACAATTCTCCTATGCTTCATTTTACAATGGCCCATTTTGATAGGCCTTAGGCCTAGTTTGCAACGCCTAACGCCTAAGCTCTCAATGATTCATTTTGCATTTTAGGGGATAAACATCCTTAAGTATAATTCTAGTATTTCGGAGTGCCCACTACGAAACATGGTGGTTAAATTTTGGTTAGTATTTAACAAATGATTAAAAAATATAGCTATTTTTGTCATTTTCTATAATATAAAGGGTTGTTGTCAGAAAAGTCTATTCATTTTGGCTCCTTTTATAACGAAACCATCCTTTTTTAATCAGAAAAGGAAAAAAAAAATACATGCTATATCTTATAGTGGGGTTTTACCCATGACCACATCCATTATGTAGATGAGAAGTTGATATGACCAACAAGTTTACAATATGATTTGGCCTCCATATATGTAGATGAGAAGCTGACATGGCTAGAGGGGTTATATATAATAATATAAACCAATTGCATGTCTTTCCTCTTATTTTTACTACCCAAACCTTCCTCTTTAATTACGACCTAAAGGCTAAATCTTAGAGTAGGTTCAAAATGTCATCATCTTCTTCAATTAGCAACTCAGGTTTACATACTGAAAACCAAGTTGCTTGTCAAGGGTTAAGCGAAAGGTGTGGTTATGGTGATGAATATGACATGTTCACTTCTTGAACTTTCCACGATTTAGATTTGTAGGATGCCTTACCTTCATGGACCATGTTATGGTTTATGTTTTATATATTTTAATTTGATAACCTGCATACTGAAACAATGAATTGTAAATATGTTATCTAGATGGATACAAGTAATAATTGTAGTTTGATGTATTGCATTGCAATTTGCAAATGATGTTTACCACTATAACGACAGCAAATTAAGTGCAATGGACCGATTGGAAGTGATGTAATGAATTAAGTGCAATTTTTACAATGGAATAAAATGGAAGATTTAATGAAACTAACAATCAGATTTTAACTTAACAATTCTTGCATCAATAGCAACATAACTAAAGTCTAAAATGCTTAGGTCTATCCAGTATAAAAATCAAGTTTTTCTACAAAAGTTTAATAATAAAAAAAAAAAAAAAAAAAAAAAACAAAACTCAAAACATATCAAAGTCGCCTTCACAGTATTATCCAAAACAACACAAACTCTAAGTCCTTAAACTACTCACGTAACCTCATTAATCTGAAAAAAAAATATATCTGATTAAATATCTTCAACAAACTCAACAAGATCATCAACTTCCTGCTTCAAAACTGTAATCTTCTGTTGAATTGCAGCCACACGATTCTCAAAATCCCTCCCCCCTGATTTCTTCTCATATGAATCCACCACCATTGTGTGTTTCAACATAATCTTTTCTTGCAAATCTCTCTCTTTCACAACCAACTCCTCCACCTACAAAACAAAAACCATTTTCAATAAAATATAAAAGAAAAAATGAGCTTGAAATTACAAAACTAATGTATAGAGAAAAAAGAAAAAAAAAAAAAAAAAACCTTGGGAAAAATATGTGCAGCTTGTGGGGAAGATTGTAGGAGAGACAAAAGGGGCTTTGATTCTTTAGAAACATCTTTCAACAAAGTATCCGCTGCTTTGCGGACCGCTTTACAAGCCTGGACATCACCTGTTCTAGAAAGTTCTCTTAAAGAAGCTTCCAGTTTTTCATGTATCAATAAACATCTGTTGATCATATCTCGAAGCTGCTGAATCGTTCCCAAAACCTAAACAAAAAAAAGGATTTTGGTTTATTAAATGAAATGAGAAAATTTTTTAATTTAATCAAGTGTTTTCATGTATTACTATTACCTCATCCCATTGCAATTTTGCAAGATATGAAGGTGAAGACTTTGAGATTGTGAAGTCAGCATGCATGTAGATGATGCAAGCAATGAAGAGAGAGAAAAATCCCAATATCAACATTAATGGCTCTGTAAGGAGTGAAATGTTGCTGAATTTGTAGTGGACCTGAAAAGTCAAACTAATAAATTTAATTACCAAAATAACCTCAATTTAAATGAATGAATGATTGAATACCTGGAAATACTGGTTATGCTCTGGGACAACATTAATTTTTTCTAAGACAATCGTGGGTCTACCCGCAATATCCAAGTGAGAAAATTTTGTCTGAAAAAAAATAAAAAAATAATCCATTAGAGTAAATTACAAAAACAGTCCCTGTACTTTCTAACATTGTTTAGTTTCAGTTTGGTCCTTATTTCAAGATTCCATGAACATTGAAATAAGGGCCCTCTTGAAATAAGGACCAAAACTGAAAAAGTTTCTATTTTGAACTAAACATGGTGAAAATCAGAAAGATTAGGGACCATTTTGGTAATTTAGTGAAAGTATTATAAGGAAAGAGTTTTGCAGACCTCTTGTGACTGTTTTACAGGGAATGGAACTGAAACAGATATATCTTTTGATCCCTCAGGCAGAACAACCTGCATTCATGAAAAGAAAAGGATTACAAAAAAAACATTTTTACAAAATACCAATTTTGCCCATCTTTCTTTTACCTTCACAGTAAGGTTTTCAACAAGAATGTCGTTCATGGGTGAACCAAAAGTAATATTAAGAAACCGAGTTTCTTCTGATTGAAACAAGAAATCTTGAAGTGGCAAACTGTATCCGATTGTGAATGAAGTTTTCCAACCTCCAAACATTGGATACCGAGGTTCAATTTCCAATAATGTCTGCAATTTTTTATAAAAAAAAAAAACTCATTAGAAAAATAAAAAACAATATATCATATAATGATATAATGATATAATCTCTCACCTTGCTTGAATCACCATATATATTAGATGTTGAAATATTCCCAATGGCATCCCTGTAATAAATGGAATGTGCTCTTGGTGGCAACATGGCGAGAAGATTCCGGAAAGCTGATGCACCTCGTATATGTGGCCTTGTCTGGAAGTCCAGCCTGGCATCATAATGATGACATCAGCAATGTCAAGTCAAAATCAAAGAAGATAAAGTTATAAGCTACAAAATGTGATGTGATAATACCTTGAAAATTCACCAGTGCTTTGAGCACCACCATGAATGAGGGTATAATGTTCAGTGACTTGTACATTGCCCCAATGAGAAATCTCTATTTCTTTAATTAATTCTTGTGCAACTGCAAATGGTTTATTGCTTGGAAAGTGGATGATTACTGGAGAGTATGAAAAAGGAGGAAGGTTTTCATAAGGACCATATTTGATCTCTGAGTTTGAGAATTTTGTGGTTTTGAGTTTTGTATAAGATTCGACGTTTTCGGATGGAAGTTTGACTGTCATTGACTGGGATTTGACTTTGTAAGGTGAGGGAAAGTGTGCAGATTCCTGGAAGAGGAAGAGTTGAGATTCTGATTGTGTGATTTTTTCTGGGAATGGGCGTAAGGTGTGGGTGAAGACTGCTAAAACATCCATGGTCAAACTTTCTCCTTTGACCAATTCTTTTGGGAGAGATGCAGCATACCAGATTAGTGATGGTGGTGAGTCAGCAGGTTGGTTGGTTTTGATTGGGAGATTGGTGGTGGGACCTTTTGTTTTCCCTTTCCCTTCTGTACTCACTGCTACTAAAAGTGCTAGATTGTTTGCTTGGTGTTCTGGGAAGGTTAAAGATACCTTGGAAACTGGATCAGGACCTGTGTTTTCTACCTGCAAGGTAGGAAACATTCCAAATTCTTGGAATGGGTTAAAAATGGTGAAGAAATGAAGAGGTGAAATGTGAAATAGGTTTTTGAATGATTATGCACCTTGAAGGACATGGTCATTCGTACAATCTGTGAAGTCAGATCAATCTGCAATAGAAAATGAGATTCTATAAGGTTCAATGAAGACAATCAAAAAGTTGAGCATTCGGTTGTAATGGTCTAGTTGAAGCCATTTGCCAAGTGTTTATAGCTACATTCGAGTTAGGGAATTAAGAGTAAAGTCGAGTTCGAGCTTGATACCGATCTTAAGCTTTACAACAACAAATTACCAACTATACTAGACTTCATAACACTCCATACAGAATTAAAAACGTTAGCATTATCAAATCTAAGCTTTTGTTGGAGCGAATTGTGTAACAATCACCTACGAGAATGATACGTTGATAACTCTACTTACTAAGAAAATGAAATCAAACTGAGCTCGATTTGTTCAATGACAATACAGCCAACCAGATTAACCAAAACTTCGGATCCGATCAATAATTAGCTGAGAATATTAGAAATGAAATCAATATATACAGACGAAAGATTACCCGTCGATCAAGCTTGGAGATGACTAGATCGGAAAGCGCGGGGCCCCAATGTACAGCAAGTAGTAACAGTAGCAGATCAAATCGAAACCTACCCATGATTTTATCTTCTTTCCTGTAATGTATTGAATTAGGGTTTATGATATCGGAGTGAGAAAAATAGAGAGGTTCCTCGCCAAATTAAGGACACAGAAGTTTTATGCACGACCAAGAAGTCATGACTTTTTAAAATGCGCCGATAGATGCGTTATTTAGCTCAGAACTGGTATCATGCGCTAGTAACCAATTTTTTTCAAGAGGCTAACGATTTTTAGATTTTATTAAAAACTGATCTATACGAAATCGATACGAAATAAACGAGTTTGGTTAAGATATTTAAACTCGTTTAATTAAACGAGTTGACACAATATGATATGAAAAATAAACAAGTAAAGTTAGGATTGGAAATTTCAACCAGAATATAACTCGGAAATGACCATTTATATGTAAGTTTTATGAATGTTTTAAATAAACTAGAAGGACTAAAAACCAAAACAATACGTAAAAGAAAACTTTTAGGTTGACTCGTTTTGTAACGTGGAATACACTTCGTCGTCTTAGTTAAGACTTTCATTTTCAATTTTTTTGTTATCGCTCAAATTACACGGTCATCTCAACCATTCTCTCCTCCTCATGATCTCTCCCTTCTCCTTCCAACTCATATTCATTCAACTTTCTCTCTAAACTTACTATAAATTTCGCCATTTTGCCTCTTAACTATTACATTTCTTTTCCACCTATCTAAATCATACTCTTTCGACATGTTTAATATTTCAAACTCACATGACACGACACATTTTAAGGTATACTCCGAACCCGGAACCCGACAGAAAAATAAATGGGTTGACACGACACGATACGTTAATTAAACGAGTCGGGTTAGGACTTAGGATCAAGCTCTCTCAACCCGTTTACCGTTTTGATACGACATGTTTGTCAGGTCTAATTAAAACCAATTTATTTACATGATTTATCAATAGTTCATTAATTTTTTTTAGAAAATTTCATTGAATTTTTTTGGTACATTTACCCGATTATTATTTGGCGTGTCATATCATGTAGTTGATGACCTAGTGAAACATCCAAAAATACGATCCAAAAATTTTTGTTTAATAATTACTAAAAACACCACGATAATATCATAAGGTAAAACTCGTACGTCAATATCTCAAAAACAATAGTAAAGTGTTATGAGTAAACTGTATCAATACTGTATCAAATCCCATCTATGAAAAACTAAGAACAACTCCCAGGACAACTGAAGTTGTGGTGTGTGCGATGCCATCAACCTGAGCTCTTCCCTTTGCTTGCGGAAATACCTGAAACCAAAGTTGAAACTGTAAGCACGAAGCTTAGTGAGCTCCCCCAAACTACCACATACCATATAATAACATATAAACACATATTGGGCCTTGCCCACTGCATCGGGCCGAAGCCCGGAAAACTGCATCGGACCGAAGTCCGGAACTGACTGGGACCTTGTCCCCTGCATCAGACCGAAGTCCGGAACTAACTGGGACCTTGTCCCCTGCATCGGACTGAAGTTCGGAACTAACTGCATCGGACCGAAGTCCGGAACTAACTGCATCGGACCGAAGTCCGGAACTAACTGCATCGGACCGAAGTCCAGAACTGATTGGGACCTTGTCCCCTGCATCGGACCGAAGTCCGGAACTAACTGGGCATAGCATAGCATAGCAAAACACATATCAAATAGCATAACACACATGATCATAAACTCATATACTGCATACTACGTCAGGCCGTAGCCCATAACACTTAACACATAAATCCTGTCTGAGCCACAAAGGCATCAAACAACTAACAACTGCATCGGACCAAAGTTCGGAAACTACTGCTACTAAACGGGCCGGCATTGTGGCCTTAGACCCGTTCCTACTGGAAGGAAACTCACCTCGTGATCTGGCTGCTGAGTGTGTGACTCCGGGAACTATCTGCTGCTGCTCCGGTATCTCCCCGGCTACAAATCCACAATTACACTCAATCAAATTATTAATAACTATATTGGGGTAAATGACTCCTTTATCCCTGGCTAAAGTCAACTCTCCTGGTCAAAGTCAACTTTACAGTTGACCTGACTCACCGAGTTGGGCCGCCAACTCGCCGAGTCCCTACTCTCATTTCTCACCCTACTCGCTGCTACTCGTCGAGTATGGCATCAACTCGACGAGTTCCCTTTCGAATCTAAAACTTCAGGCAATCTGCATCAGACTCGCCGAGCCGTATGAACAACTCGACGAGTTGTTCTTCGAGCTAAGAAGATTTCCTTGGACTCGCCAAGTTGTATGAACAACTCGCCGAGTCCCTCCATTACTGAGTCTAACCACAACTCACAAAGTCCACTCCATCACTCACTGGTCTCACTCGGCATCACTCAAAAAGGGAAAAATCGGGGACTCGCGGCTTGACTCGCCGAGTCGTTCTTCCGACTCGCCGAGTCGCTTGCATGCAGCAACTCAAAACTTGATTCTGCTTGAATACAGTGCATAAAACTTATAGATCTGGACTCCCTTAACTCGATTAGCACGTAAAGATTCTATCTTTACGTGCCCATATGCATTCATGAAGATAAAATAGCTCAAAAAGCATAATAAAGGCTAGATCTAGGGTTTCCATGCAAAGTATCTTCATAAAGGCAATAGATCTGGGCTCTGAAACTTCTCAATTAGTAGATCTAAGGATATCTCGACTTATTAGAGCATTCATACAATCATAAGGTTTGGGAAAAGCATCAACTAGATCTAGAAGAGTTCTAATGGAGGTTTAAAGCATAAAACAAGAGGGAAATCCGAAGAATACCTCAAATAACTCTGATTTGCCCTTGGATCTTTGCACTACTCCTCTTCTCCTTGCTCCTTTCTTCTTCTCCTTCTTCAAGCCTTCACAAATCACACAAGAACACTTAGATCACTCAAGGATGGATTAGGGTTTTCTCACAGCGTTCTGAGGGTGAAGGAGGCGAGAATGGGGGCTATAAGGTGGATTAAATAGTGAGCAACCTGAAGATTTAGGGTTTCAACCTGGCAGGCCGACTCGTCGAGTCCCGAATATGGACTCGCCGAGTCGCCGATCTATACGCTGATCAACAACGCGACCCTACTCGACGAGTCGGGACATAGACTCGCCGAGTTCCTCCGTTAACTTCAAAAATAAATACTAAAACCCACATACCAGGGACGGGTCATTACAATTCTCCCCCACTTGACCCAGACTTCGTCCTCGAAGTCTGCTGCTGCATCTGCAAATAACCCGGGATAATGTTCTCTCATTTCGTCTTCAGCCTCCCACGTCCACTCAGACCCCTTCCGGTGCTCCCACTGCACCTTCACTAGCTGAATTACCTTGTTCCTCAAGGTCTTTGCTTTCCGATCCAGAATCACGACCGGCCTCTCAATATAATTCTAGCTGAGTTATGTCATGATGCAAACTTACAACCAGTTGAAGAATATGAAACATTGGATCTGATGATGCTAATTTATATGAAGAATGCGGGAGAGATCCTCAGTTTGATATTTATTCGATTTTCAATCGTACCCAACGTTGTAAAAATCTAGGGATGAGATTTTAAAATCCCTAATAGATGAAACATATGTTATGAAATTGACTAAACTGCACAAATGGTCCCTGTGGTATGTCTAAAATTGTCACTTTGGTCCAAAAAAGTTTGGAGTAGCACCAGTAGTCCAAAACTTTAATTTTGTTGCGAGTTTGGTCCAAAAGTTTTGAAACATTATTAAGTTGACGGATTTGCCCTTGATATTTTCTTTTTCCATTTTTTTATTTACTTCTAACACACTTTTAATTAAAAAATAAAAAGAAACTAACCCCCACCCTCACTCCGTCCCCCACTCCAACCCCTTCTCTCTTTTTCCATAGGATGGCTTGAACACCATTGCTGGAAAAGATGAACACAACCACCCTCACCGGAAAAGACGAACACAATCACCACCACCGGAAAAGATGACCATTTCAACCAGGTCAACACCACCACCATCTACTAGAAAAACCTTCGATCCGAAAAGTATTGTTTTCCAGCGGCAAAGACAAACAAACCTTCGATTTTCCGGCATAGACATACAAACCTACGATTTTCCGGTGAAGATAAAAAAAACCCTCAAAAACCTCCTTAAACGTTGTCGATTTGAAAACAATCCCCCTCTTTAGATCTTGCTCGTGGTCGTTGTCGGTTTTTAGATAAACAAACTCTTCCCCGTGTCGAAACCATGAAGGTCGTCGGTCTCTAGATATGTTTGTCAAAACGCCGCCTATCCACACACGTCGGAGCCGAATATATCACCCTTTACCCAAATGATTTAAGGTTTTCACCCCATAAACCCTCAGATCTGAAAAACTTCTCGTCAGATCTCGAGTAATGAACATATATGAAACCCTTCATTGATGCTGAAAACCCACCGTCGGAGCCCTTCTTTGGCGCTGAAAACCAACCGTTGCAGTCGCCTGTTATAGCAAACCCTAGCGTCGCCGCCTTTCATAACAAATTGTAACGTCGTTCTCTATCTCTCTCTCACATGTCCGAGGTGGTTTAGGGTTTGCAAACCCTGATTCCGTCCGTATCTCTTCGTTTCACTCCTCCTCCGACGGCGGTGGCGGCTTTCGGTGGCGGTGGTGGCTGTACTACTGACAGATGATGGCAATGTTAAGTGATGAACATATAAAAGGGATGAGGGGTTATTACATTTTGTTTCTTATTTATTTTAATAAAAAAAATAATAAAAGAAAACAGAAAAAGAAAATACCAAGGGCAAAATCGTCACTTTAAATATTTTCAAAAAGAATTGGACCAAAACCGCAACAAAATGAAAGTTTTGGACCTCTGGTGCTAGTCCAAACCTTTTTGGACCAAAGTGGCAATTTTGTGATGGGTTTTGGTCATAAGACATCCTATGTGCTCATACGAACCCTAATGCTTGGATCTAGGTTTCTCTATTGTACATGCTTTGAATCCAAGACTATAAACCCTACTTCTAGTATATGAAATCGATATTAACATATGAATGGGTTTAAGAACATACCTTGATTGTTATAGAGTAATAACAATCCTAATTCCTCCTTGAATTGACTTTGGAAGGCTTAGAGACACAAGTGTCACTCCTCTAATGGCTTACAAACACCAAGAGCAAATGGAGAAGGTATAAAGAGAGAGGTTAGAATTCTTC